TTTTGCCAACTTGTACATATATAAATCAACAGGCACTGTGGCTTAAAGTGGACACACTATCTTTGACACAAGCAACCATTTGAGAGCTATAGCAACACTAACTATTAAAAAAAAGTACTTGTTTGACACATCTTGCACTGTTCATTTTCATCAGTGTTTTTTTGGAGCTGTTTCTTAGATTACAGTTTCACTTCTAGTTGATTAAGTCCTCAAACTTGATTTACTTACAGGCCCTTTATCCAACAATATACTATAAGATGAAAGTATTATCAAGGGAAAACTTTCATCCAGAAAGCATAAATGCAGAAATACACATATTCTCAATTTTTATGAATGGCAATCAACACCAATGAAGACTTGCTAACAAAGTTTTTTGCACACCATAACTTGATCTTTTCCCCATTTTCTTCAAGTATTTACTACTTTGTGTCTCACTGAATAACAACTTTCTTTCTCATGCTGTGAATCCTTTTCTCCAAAGAAAAGCACAAAAATACAGCTGAACAGTATTTTATAACATTAATGACCTCAACCTCCCTGCCCCAGGTAATGTCCAGTTCAAGTTTGCTCAGGGATTACCCTTTACTCCTCCAAGGTTGCAGATTTACAAAGCAAAGAGATACTTGAGAAGCCCCAGCACTATTTGCCTACCAAGCATTAGCTCTTCTGAAATCAACACCCATGGAAAATAAATCCCAGTCCACACTTGAGAAAAGCTGTGCAAAGTTGCAATTTTCTGTATGAAAAATAACAGGAAAACCTACCAGGAGGTGAGCTTGCTCCCCTGGACGAAAGAAGAGGCAAAAAGCAGCAGCCACTGCTGCTGAGACTAACAAGCTGCAACTGCTGCACTCTGCTAACAAGTCCCAGGTGAGAAGCAGGAGGACACCCTGAGTGATGGGTGGTTCCTGGAAGTGGTCCTTGCCATGGAACCTGTCACTGAGGTCCTGCCAGTCACCAGAGGAACTGCACAGAAATTATCACCTTGTATTGTGGGGACTGTTTCCTTTGTTCAGAGTGTCCTAGAGAAGGACTTAACAAAAAAAAAAATCTTCAAAAAATATGGATCTTTGGTATGGACTGCTTTATGAAAACAGAACAAAACCAAAAAGAACTGTGAGCCATGCCATGAACTCTACTCTACAGTTTGCATTTTTTAAATTCCTCACAATGGATCTGGAATAAATCAGCAATGGGTCAAACCAGTTCAGAAAGTGTTTGAATAACTGCCCATGGAGTGCCCAGAGGTTCCCCGTCAGCTGAGTATTTTGACTGCTGCTGTTCAATTGCCATTTGAGAAAGCAGGACTGCTGGGAAAGACAGCACAACGTAAGACAACACACAGTAAACCAACACTGGCTACAAAAGCACACAGTGTACCATATTCACACTGCACAGCCCAGGTCTCTGAGACGTTCCCAAAAGCAGCTTCACACCAGTGCCCCTCCGAGCCAGCAGTGCTCAACGCAGCCAAAGGTAAGAGGCTTTCAACAAATCAGGAGAGCCCGAAATATCTCATTTTATCTCTATAATAGAAACAGTAATTGACAAATCATTATTTTACATTTATAAAATACATGATGAGGAACATACCACATGCATTCTAGACTTTCTGTCTGCAGTGGAAATCAACTGGGAAATTAGGAGGTATGGCATAGAAACATCACTACGAATATACTGTATTACTGCTTTTGCAGCTGCAGTCCCAGAATTTGTTTCACAATAATTCAGTTACCCATGTTTAAATAACCAGCCAGCAGAAGAAAGGCTGATATATTTCATATGCATTCTCTTTGAGCACGGGGGCCTTCACGTCTGGGCGAAAAATGTCAGGCTCATATGACACCACCAGAGTCAGGAGAGATGCCTAACCATAACTAAAAGCAGAATTTGGCCAACACAATTGGAAAATACCAGCAGAGTATATACAAATGCACACATGCAATCTCATAGAAGAGCAGAGTATGAGGCAGATTGGATTTTTTAATCACACCTTTTAAAAAAACAAAATTTAATGTACAAACCCCTCACTGCACTCCTATGTGGATCCTTTATCCCACTGCAACATAAACAGACATATCAGACGTTGGAGCAGGGAATAAAGTTCTTTTTTCTTTTTTTTTTTTTTTCCATTGAGGATTTTAAACAGTTTGAAAAGGAAAAGAACAGATCTGGCCTGCCTCCCAAACTGACTTCAATAATAGATAAACAATTTTAAGACTACCACAGTCAGCAAGTACATACACAAGCTGTATATGAATATACTTATTTTTAAAAGAGATGCATTTTTTCCCTTTTGTTTTCAGTTTCCTCTACCATATAGTCCAGAAGCAAAACCTAGAAGTCTTTCCTGATTCACCAAAACCACACTTTGACAATGAATATTATAATGGTTTAGATATTATTCCTCACAACTTCCCACCCAAAGGACAGCTTCAGTACCAATTCCTACAAGTTTTGTGCCATCTTTGTAAGACCATTCTATCAAACACATCCTTCAGAAAGGAAGGATTTTAGCTTGCATCCTGAATGCAGTGCCTGACTCAAAGATGCCATTCACTTCCTTCAGTCTCTTGCCTATTCCTGGTGCACTTGCCAGTAACACCCAGGGGGGCTTCAATATTTTGCAAAAACAGAGTGAATCTCGGTATTGGCAAATCCATAACCAAACACACAGATTCGAAGATATTACTAAAAAACCAAGATTCTGAAACAGCATTTTTCACAAAATTAAACATAAACTTTGGTGCAAATTAAAAACAACCCTCTTGTATCTGAGCCCATAATGACTATTTTGAATACAGATTATTTACTGCTGCCAATAAAGAAGTTTTTTGGTAACTTTTGTGTTATTGGGAAGAGCTTGAATACAATCCAGTCCAAAAAAAATGCTGACTTTCCTAAATAGGGGCTGTGTTTTTGCAATAAAGAATACTGGTCAATATACAAGTGAAGGAAAACTGAACCAGATGTCAGTAATAGGACCACAGAACGTTGCATTTGCCCAGAATCGCTATTTTAAACACACGATGTTGGTCTACTGGTTTGTGGGATAATACATTCTTGGCAGCCAGAAGGAGTTTCGATATGTTAGAAGGTTATCCTTGAGCAAAAAAAAAAAAAAAAAAAAAAAAAAAAAAAAAAAAGAAAAGCAGGAGAGAGGTAAAGGCCACTAATTCATCAAGTTACCCATAACAGAAAAAAAATCATGACTAAAGAAATCAGTTCAAAGACGAGCCATTCTCAAAACAGAAAGCTTTGTTTTTACATTCATTTTTGTTTTCTGCTTTACCTCCTTCATATGAATACTTCATTGACACTTCATTGTACTTTGCCTTGGCATTTTTTAAGGATTCTTCCGTCCATACACGCTCCATTTCACCTTGCAGCTCAGTTCAGTCAGACTGATGCGGGGGAAACCACCCCACACACAACCCAGACCGCACAAAACCCAGTCCTGGAAACTTTTCCTGTTGGAAACCTTTGCTCACATGAGGATCTTGCTGCCATCACTGGACTGCTGGAGGAAGCTGTTCACGGGACCAGGTCCCACTGTCCCAGAATCACTGCAGGCAGTCCCAGAACCACGCACACATGTACCATTAACCCAGGTTTCTATCCACAGCTAATTTAGTACTTACCCATCTCTAAAATGCTTTCTAGTTCAGAGTCACAGGCATCTGTGATTTGTTTTTTGGTGTGTTGGGGTTTTTTTCCTCTTAAATAGTAGTTAGATCTGTAAGTCTTCTCAATACAGAAATAAAACTTCAAGAGGTACTTTGTATGTTTGGCGAACAAACACTTCGCTGTTTTACCATGTAGTAAATTTAAAAATCAACTCTCTTCATTGTTTTAACAAACCCTCCTCTGAAAGATAATTAAAACCACTTCCCAATATACAACCAAAGTTTTATTTTTATAGTCTATCTTCAATTATGGCATAATCCTTTTTTTTTGTTTTAAACCAGTGAAATATACAAATCACACGAGACAGAAATATGTACATTAAATGTACAGAACAGAGGAAAGGACATAGAAGATTTACATATCTGAATGACAAGTAAAATATTTTACATTAAATAGTGTTTTAATAGCTAGGATCATGAGATTCGGTTCTGCTCAGACAAAAGTCACTAGAAAGGAACATGAGGTGATTCAGCAAATGAAAAACAAGATCATGATTTTTGTACAATAAAAACCAAAGTGACATATTCAATGAATTAGTGCTTTATTTATTTCTCTTACTTTAAAGATACTCTTTGCAAACATCTGAAGATGAGGGGTAAATATGTCCTTGTACAATAAATTAAGAGCAATAAAGCGCCATTAAGAAGCTGATAAATGATCAAGATGAATTAAATGATACAGCTTAAAGGCTTGTGAAAAGGCAAGGCTTTAGTACAACTAGGCTAAAGTGAAAGATTTTCCTCACTTGGTATCTGCAAAACTATTTTCTTTAACTTGTTGAATGGGACTGAGTTGAAAAGAGGCATCTGAACCAAAGACGAAACCCTGTGTAACTACACAGAATAGGGGGGAACGCATATTGTTTGACAAATAACAATTTTTCAGTTCAAAAACTGAAAAGCAAGGGCTAAATGCAGCACATTTTGGAGTTGGAAGGTGTCTCCTTTCACCAATAATCAATAATGCCCTTAACATGAGAGTGGAATAGAAGCAATCTCCAGACCAGTAATGACTCAGGTGCAGGGTGCTGCCTCTACCAACCACCCAGGAAAGTCCTACAGTTGGGAAGAGGCTGACTTCTTCGTGATTCTCCTCAGAACTTTTGAATGATAAAAGCTTAAAAAAAAAAACCAAAACAAAGCCAAACACAAAACAACAACAAAAAAAACAAAAACAAACAAAAACCAAACCAAAACCAAAACAAACAAACAAACGAACAAAAAACCATCCCAAAATAACAAAAACAAAACCACCAAAAGCTTGGAATCAATTTAAAAACCTGAAGAGATCTGAAAATGAGGGATGAACTGCCCTTGTAATTTTAGATGTTTTATTATTTTCTAAATCATTAAAATATATATGTACAAAAAGCTTTGAAGTATCAGACACCAGCAGACCACAGTTCTCCCATATATATGTAACTGCTCAAGTATAGTCTGAACAGTTGTAGTGTATATCTGCAATATATTATCTAAAGCATGTGTATTAAAGACATAGGATGATAAATTTGGTATTGCTGCAATGTTTCATTGAACTATAATAGTCAGTTAATGTTATTAAAATATGAAACTATTGTATCCTTGAGTGAAAGCGTTCCCAAAATCTGCGAAAAAAATAAAAATCAATCATTCCAAGAGCGGATATCTAACGATTTATTTTCTCACATAAAATTAGAGGAGTTATTTGTCAAGCTGTGTTTTGAAAGACAGCCAGCTATTACACCATTTTAAGGCATTTTCAAATTTGGGGAACTCTACTTTCCATGGGCTTTCCAGGCTGGGAAACCAAAGCTGTTAGTAAGCAGTGCAGCTCCCCTTGCCCAGCTACAGTGCTCCACACAGCCTGCCCCGGGGCTGCTCCACACTCAGCAGTAGGGAAGTGCTGCTCTGTCAGACGAGACACTCCAAATCACCTAACGAGGCCAAACTCTGCCTTGAAGAATATCTTCGTTATTCACCAAGGCAGATTTTTTTTTCTTTTTTTTTTCCCAGTCTTGGTAGGTTTTGGAACCAGCCCCTGTGACTCAGGGATAGCGCAGTTAAAGCCTTTCTGATTCTTTGCTCTTTGCCCTCCGGTGACACTGCGGGAACAGTCAGACATGCAACCAACACAGCACTTCATGCTGGATATACCCCTTATTTACAGAGCCCTACATGCACTGAACAGCTTTATATACCCTATTCTAGCAACTTCTAGTGTCTGAAACTAAAAGTCATGGACAGGTCTGTGTGTTCCTCACATCCATAAGGATTGTTCTAGCATCCCAAGCACATTACATGGTTGCTCTGCCTACTGCACATGTATTACGTTCCATGGGACTAAATTAGGATATGTCGGATTTTCCCCTCAAACTACTCTATTGTTTGTAAGAAAAGTCAATGTTTTAACTTTGTAAAATAAATATTCTCAGATTCTCGCCCATTATTGCCAAAAATATAAGCCTAACACAGTTCTGGGATGGACACAGAGAGGGTTTCCAGGCACTTCTCTTTGCAACCTTTATATTTTTCTTTTTTCTTTTTTGTTTTTTTCCCCTTCCCCCGCCCTTTTTTTTCTTTTTTTTTTTTTTTGTTTTTCTTAAAAGAAAACAACAACTCGTTGGACTCTATAAATAAAAAGTGGAGATAGTCCTGTGGAAAAGGGAGAGGGGCCCGCGCCCCTCGCTGGCAGGCGGCTGCAGCTCCTCCCACCTCGTCCTGTCCCCCTATTTGCACACAAACTGGTCCACGATCTCTGTGCACAACTTGCATTTCACGTAGCAGCACCAGTGGAACTTGCAGTGGCAGCGCTCTCTCTGCACCGTCTTGAACTGGTCGTACCCCCGGCCGCAGCACATGAGTTCGCAGCCGTCCATGCCCTCCGAGGTCTTATTGCACAGGCGGCCCTGGGTGCCCAGGGAGCCGGTGCTCTCGTTGCGCACGCAGTAGTCGGGGCTGGGGTCGATGTACACCAGGTCGTGGATGGTGGGGGCGTTGAAGCGGCTGTTCACCTGCACCAGCTTGCCCCGGCTGTTGAGTTTCATGGCGGCGGCGCTGTCGTATTTCTCCTTCAGGGCATCGCCTACCTTGCGGAAATCGGCGAGCTGCAGCCAACAGGTCTTCAGGCTACAGGAACCGGAGACGCCGTGGCACTTGCAGGCCACGTCAGCCAGGTTGTACACCGTCTGGAGGAGTCAGGGAGAGAAGCAAAAATGATGATGAAAGACTAGCGTGGCTGTGAAAGCATTTATTCCCCTCATTTCCTGCCCTCTGTCGTATTCCCACTGGCCCTTCCACTGTATTCACCTTAACATTCTCCCCCCCTCCTCCAATACACTGGGAAGGAAGAGCAAGTGAGCTGATACACGTGCACCTCCACCATCCCAAACAGCTGGGAGGAGGAGGGGAGCACTCTCACCAGCCTCTCCCCACCACTGAGACAGCCACAACAGCACATACACAGCCCAGACAGCAGCATCAGTCAGGCTGCGCTCAAATTTTAGGAATTTGCTCTCACGCCAGCAAAGGATTTTGCTGTTTCATTGAGAAATGTAAAACATCCCTTTATTTTCTATCTGAGTTACTCTCCCTATTGATCTCTACTTGAGGCTGCAATTAGGGAAAGAGTTAAGATTCCTCTTGCTCCTGGCTCAGCTGCAGCTGATTGTCTACTCTTGGCTCGGCATCCTCCTCCTATCCCAAATACTGCTCTGGAAGAGAGACTTCATCCAAGAAGAAACCCCCAAACACCTATGGGTGGAAGACAGAGCTACATAGCAATATCCTCTTTACAAAGCTTTGGCAGCGAAACCTTAGTCATTTGCCCTGTACAAATAGAAATAAGAGTCAGTGTTGACACTGCCCCAAAAATCCTGGGGTCTGACACATTAGATGATACTGTAGACAACTTCCACCCAGCAGTTACAGAGAGTTTTAGCGCTGCCAAATGGCACTGCAAAGATGAGGCTGAGGAAGGAAAAAACTGCTCGAGTCTCCGTAAGCAACTGTGAAAGTGTAATTTTTCTTCTTGCTAATAGTAATTGGCCTGTCCATTGCTTCCAGACACCTTCCTCTTACATTTAAATACTATTAATTTTCAATTATCTTTCATCCTCCTTCACCTTAGAACACAAGTGTAAAGTCCCCAGCCGACTATTGCTGGCACTTCAAGCTCTAGGAAAATAATGATTTTGGCTCTTCACATTGAGAGTATTAAAAAAAAAGAAGAGTTTACACCCATTCATTTGAGGCATTTTTGAGATTAAAGAAACCATAAAGACATGTTCAACCACAGAAGAACCATGTTTCCTAATAGCATGGAGAAGCTCTTTTACATCCTCTTAAAGCAGGGAAAGAAAAAAGGTCAGAACAGTCCTGCGGCACGATTCCAGCCTGGGAAGCCCAGCACATCCCTCCTCCTTCCAACACACACTGTCCTGGTTGGAAATACCAACTAATAAAATTCTGTTCTACAGAGAATCCACAGCGAGCAGGGCACTTTTCATGAAACAATACAGAGGGAAACACAACAAGCTTTGGTTCCGGCCTCCCCCATGAGGAAGGCAATAGGACTGTCAGACAACCAGAAGCAACACAAATTCCTGTATTCCCCACCCACCCACACCCTGTATTTGCCGTCTTCTTGTTCCGTGCATCAAAACAAAGACAAGCCATGGTGGTCGGTCTGTGCCTCACTGAGGCACATCTTTCCCGAAAAGGAGGGACACGGAGGAGAGAGGAGGGAGACTGTTCTGCAGTCACTTACCCTTCTCCCGGCCTCGTTGTTGTGCAGGTTCATCATGATCCGGGCGCTCTCGTAGGAGCCTCGCTGGTAAACTCTCTCACGCTCCCGGGCGTCCACGAACTCCTTGGCAAAGCGGTATCCGTACTCGATGTTATCCCCGCAGCCACCCCAAAGCCAGTCCCGGGGCAAGTCCTTGGGCCGTGCAGCTCGGCTGCAGCCACAGGAGGAGAGCTCTCCCTCCCGGCAGGCGCGGCTCATGGCATTGACCACGCCGGCCGCGCTCACCGCGTAGGTGAACGCCGTCTCCCGGCTGCCTGCGCAGAGAGACAAGTGGTGTTAGGGGAGAGCCCACGCACACCACTCCCTGCCCACTGAGGAGCTGGGAGGACAAAGGCTCTCCAGGAGCCACCAAAAACTAATATGCCTACTAAAAGGTAGAGTAACCCTGAACCAAGCCCCCCCAAATGTCTCCACTCTGAAAGAACCAAGCAAAACCAACCCATTAGAGCACACACAGCGTTTGTGAAGAGCAGAATTCACTTGTTATTCATGTTGGTGAAAGCCTGGATGAGAGGGCAGAAAGGAGGTGGGTCAGGGCTGGAGCACAATGCCAGCAGGGCCAAAGCGGCCATGCCTGCATGTGAGGGGTGGGAAGGGAAACAAGCTTCCTGTCTTTCAGAAGAAAGAGATGTTAAATACAACTTTTAAAAGTCTGGTTCTTAAATTACTACTTCTCAAACATGATTGATGCACTTCACCCACTTGTTCCAATTTATTTAAAGTTCAAGCGTTTTACAAAGCCTCCTGGTATCAAAAGAAACGTGCAGCAGAGCAACACACAACTTTCCACCCCACACATTAGCCAGACACTTCTGTAGGAGACTATTTAAAACTAACGACAACCTGTGCTGTTTAGTATCCACCACTTGAGCTCATGCGAATATGGCAAGTGAGTCCATGGACAATCATCTTTACAAATTACAGGGAAGCAAAAGCCTTTGGCACAAGGCAGCCTTGAAGGTTTTCTCCTGCATCTGGTGCCCTTAAATGGAAATGGAAAACCTCAAGTTTCAAACTTTCGGAAGAAAAAGTTACAATACCCACAATGTAAGACATGGCCACGTACCATCCTACTGACAGTATCTAGTCCCATCTTATTTAAAGTCTGACTTTCCCAATCACTTTTCCAAGGCTGCCACAAGTTACTACAACTAGCAAAGCTTTCAGACAAACAAACACAGAACTTGCACCAAAGAGTACACCTGAGGTTTGCTTTTCTTCTTAAGAGAAAGCATCCCAATGGGTCTTTTCAAGAAAGATTCCCAGAATGACTGAGAATAGACTAAATATTTTTTTTTCTGTTTATAAGTTAAGTTTTATTCCTAATGTTTTGTCCAATCAATAAATCAAGCTAGCTTTAGTTTTGATTTTACATGATTTTTCTCAAGGAACAGCATTGGCCTTCATAAAATTAGGGTTTTAAGAGCCTACGTTTTGGGCAAGTCATGTATATTCAGCCAGCAACATTTTGAGGCAAAAACTCTTTGTACAAGATGTACCATGACAGGTCAAATCTAGTAGGAGCTTTCAAGCACTTACGAAACATAAATAATTTGCAGTTTGGTCCATATTTATTATCAAGATGACACCATGGTCAGAGCAGCTTTGTTAATATAACAGCTGTCATCCACTGGATTATTTTAGTAATAGATGCTGGTTTTAAATGGGAAAAATCAGAAATCTTATGTTGGGAAAGATGAGATTTAAGGAAGATGAGAAGCACTTTTCTACTTTACTTAAAATGATCTATTCTCACAGCCACCTGTTCATGGAAGTATTTACACGAATTACGGGTATAAAGGGTTACAGGAGTAGCCTTTTCAGTTAAAAATAATTGGCTTTATGCAGTGACTTAGCCCTTGCATTTACTGCAAACTATAGCAGGGGGAACCTCATACAGATTTTAATGTTCCCCTTTGCTCTGTAACACATATTTTTGGATTAATTCTTCAAGAAAAATTTCCACTAGTTTGAGAGGAAAGAAACGTGGTCTGCTTTGGACCACAGGACTCGCCTCTTCCATTCCATTTTTGTTCTTTTTCATGTTTCATCAGCTCACGCTTTCACATGGTTAACTATGTCACCTATTGCAGGATTTAAACTCATAAAGCTGACTATTTTTGACTAATTTTCATTATTAATTTGGAACAAATCTTGAAGAACTTACTCTTAGTGGGAAGGAGAAAGAAAGGCTGGGGTACAGAAAGGAGAGTTGCCCCCAATTTCCCTCCTTGAACATTAAGGCAAATTATAAAATAGCATCAGCTGCTGAAGTAGATTTCAAGCAAACACTGCCTCAAGTCATCGACCCAGGAACACACTAAGAGTGATGGTTTCACATGGATGAGTTACTCTGACTTTTTTTTTTTCGGTCTTCAGGCACAACTGTGCTTTCCTTCACTGTCAAACATATCTGTCTTTTCCCACAGTCCAGGATTTCTCTCTATTGTAGCCATGGCAAGGAAACACACATTCCAAACACGTTCAAGTCCCCTCTCTCCCATATATATAAAACATAGAAATGGAACTGTTCAATATACACACACTGTAGGAAGCCACCCACAGAGCAAGGAGCTGAGCTTTACACTTGATCTGAATAAGTCTGCAAGAACAGAACAACTTTTTTTTTATATACCTGAACAGAAGACACAAAACATTCTTTGTCTTGCACTTTAAAAGCATTCAACATCAGGCTAAAGGCAGAATAAACTGGACCCCAAGTACACAGAACTGCTGGGGGAGGACCCAGTCACTTTATTTTCTGTGTGCAAAGCCCAAGTACAGCCTGCCCAGGGCTGATGGGCACAAGATGGGGCAAGGTGGGGAAGGTAGGGAGGGCCACGGCCTGACCTGGGAACCAGCAGCCAAGGAGAGCAGTGCAGAACACAAGCCCTAAAATTTTACAGTTCAATAAGCCACAGAGCAAGTTTCCAAACCCAGTGCTAGGTTTATTTGTACAGCTTTAGCTAACTGTGCATGGTAAATCCTGGAAGAAAGACTGTCCATTGACACATGGGGCCATGGCTGTGCTGTGGGGCAGTGCTGTGCCCGGGTGCTCTCTGGGGCACCGCCAACAGCAGATGGCAAAGCCCTTCCAAACAATGTGCATTCAGACCCTGACTGTCACCTTGCACACTGGTGGGAGTAAGGAGTGTCTGACAGTCCCTGACACGTCAGGGTATGGCAGGTTGAAATAAATTGAATCAGGCTCTGAAAGTGCCCACTCTTCCTTCCCCTCAGAGGAACACCAACTGGTCATTACTGAGGGTCAGCATGAAATAATACAAATGTCACCCACCACCTTCCTTGCTCTCAGTGAACACACTCTTTACACTCTAATTCTTGAATATGGCTATTAACCTTGCTTCCATCTGCAATTAGAATAAGTGGCTTAATTACATGATGAATTGCTGTGTAGACATCAGCTAATACAGTCATATTCATCAGAAGGGTGCGGCAAAGTTATTTAACTTGAAAGAAACTACCTTTAAATAGACCTGTCATACTTGGGGCGGGCAGAAACAACTATTCCAGAGACAGACACCACAAATCATGAGCCCAATCATGAGCCCAATCCTGTGTACTTCACTCCAATAGTCCCCCTGAGCTAATTTTCACTTGCTTGGATAATAAATAAGGGCTGAAGGATGAAGGCCTAAATTTTAAATGGATTATTTTTCTGACATTTGTTAGATTACTAGAACAGAGAGGTGTACTGAAAAAGCTTTCTTTCATGTTACATGTGTTTTTAGACTTCTGCTCGGGTAAGGTAAAAAAACAAACTCTATGGGGGGTTAATACTGTGCTTGCAAAAAGCCTAGGGAAGGTTGTTTATCTAAAATCAGCTGTTCCAATTCGATACTTTCATGCAATAGATTTTTTTCTATTTGTCTGACAATCTCCAAATAAAAACTTCTTTTAACAAAAATTGAGACCAAATGTGAATTGATATATTCCCTCAACTTTAACTGGAGTCAGCCCATTTACAGATAAAACCTAGACTGAGATCCATTTTAAAACTTTTTTGTTTAAAGCAGCACAGAAAAACACTGACATAAAAGCTTCGCTTCACAGCTTCAACTAAAAAGCACTGCTGAGTTTGTCAGTGTACTGATCACTACTTAAAAGATCACAGGTATCACCCAGAAAATAGGCATTTTTCAGTTGATTGCAATCTGACTTGAGAAAGTCAGAGGGAAGTTTCACCATGGACTCAGCTCAACAGCACTGGTTAAAATTTTGCCAAGGCCTTTAAAATACGATGAGGTCCTTAAATGCCGGGAAAGGCAGGCAGCACGTGAGCACTGGAGAAGCCCTTTTCAAAGAGGAGCTGATAGGGAAAGAGTTGGGTGTCCACCTAATTGTGATAAGACGTTAAACAGGAATCTGTCTCTCTTTCCAGCAGTGTGATTACGTTAAAGGTGAGTTATAAAGACAATCACACATTTTGCCCTGACAGAACTGCTTTCATAAAAATTGCCCTGCTACAGTACCTTAAAAATAAATCTGTTTTCTTTAAAAAGAGAAAAAAAAACCCATATCTGGAAATAAGCAAGGAGGAATTGCCTATAAACACTAATCGACAGAGCAGCAATTTTCAGTTAACCTCTGGACCAAGAGCGATTTATTATGCAGCCGCTAACTTTGGAACTAGACATGGACATCTTTAATTTTACAAGACGCTGCTGGTTTTAATTCTCTTAGGTTGCCTTCGTTTTCTCTCAGGTTCAGTAAAAAAGAGATTTCAGGGCCTCATTCTCCTTTCTCCTCTATTCCCATATGCAAATATATATTCCTACTTTGTTTTCCAAGACACATGGCTGGACAGTGGTGGGAAATCACCTCCAGCTAAAAATAATCCAACTCCTTTGCCAACTTTTAAAAACACTTGATTGTATACAGTACTCAGTAAGAACCTGGCAAGAGCTTCAAGTGCAGAACAGTGTGTGCCATACATATCCTTAGACAAGAGTTTAATCATAAAGATGTTGCTTCCTACCTATCTGCATGACTCTGCCAAAAACAGAGTTGTTGTCCACAGTGCTGCAATTCCATCTTCTATGTCTGAACTGATACTGGCACTCCTTAATGCCCGTCTTTGCACCCTCTCCAATGAACTGCATATGGTCCTGATACAATTGGCAGAGTTTCTTCTGTCCTTGGGAAAGCCCTGCTAGCTGGCTACATAGTGGCTGGGCTCCTATTATATACACCTCTGACATCTGAACAGGGTTCATGGGGTTCATGGGATTCATCCCTAAGGACCTGCATAAAGAAAGATTTGCATTAATAAACAGAAGACTCTAAAATAAAATAAAATATTTTTTTAAAAAATCCATAAATCCCAAACAGAACTGTATCTTATACATGAGTATACAACTCCTGGTTTTGCTAATAAGTGAGAAAAAAACCCTAAACAAACACTTAAATATGAAACTTTTGTTTTAAGGACAGGACAGAAGTTATTAGTTCCCATCCATGTGGTTATCACCATATATTAAAGACTGAAGTAAGACAGACTTGGAAGACTTGCATCTAGGCAGCCCTTTACCAGCTTAAGTTGGCATAGTAAAAATAACAGAAGCTCCAAACAATTGCAAGGCCAGGAAAATAAATAAAGCAAAAATTAAAAAAGTCCCCCAAACCCCAATTTGTTTTAACACATATTTTACATTTAAATCCGGACTTTTCAATCTCTTCTACTATAAAAAACAGGGAAACTTTTAGCAAGCCAGGAGTTAGAAACTTGCTACAGACCACTTCTAGCTTCTTCCGAATGACAACACAACAATACAGGCAAGTACATTCACTGTAAACAAAATCAACTTTGTTTTCTTAATTCTGAAAGTGCTCTTCACATGATACATTTCAATTAAAAAGTGGCCATTAATCCACAAAGGATCACTTGAAACAGCAGAGAAACACCTATTTCAAGAACTCTCAACATTAAACACTATACAATTTGCCAAAGCAGAAATTTAAATGTACTTCTTTGTAACGAAATATATTTGTAAACATTTGAGTTACAGAAAACTTCAAGCCAAAACTTTAATAAAAGTTTTTACTTGTAAATCAGCATTCTCTCTTATACATGCAAAATTTCTAAGTGACTTAAAATGGCTCTTTTAAAAGAGACACAATTCTAGTAATTTAAAGATGATAAAATCCACAGAGAATCTACCATTCAGCATTCTCAAAACTGTATTGTACAAGACGAGATGGTGCACATTTACCCTTATTCGACAGACCCGTTCATTTCACTACACAACGTACTACACCGAGCACACCACTCCCCAGCTGCCTCGCTCCAGCGGTACTCCCTCAGAAACAAAGTACGTAAGAAGCACACAGACATTTAAGCAAGCAAATCTTGACACCCCCTTTTAAAATCAAGTCGATAGGAGATGCTTACCACCAAGAGCTGGCTTCTATTACAACCTGGGTAAAAGAAGAGAAAACGGCCAGAGCCACTACGAGGTACTGAGAAGCCATTGTACTGCCAACTGTCCCCACTGCACCTCCGTGGATTAATACTGCACTGGATTTCTAGAGGGGGGAGAAAAAGGATCAGATTGTTTATTGCTCCTCAGACCATTTTCGAACATTCAAGTTTAAACAACGGAAGTCTCCGGGCCCCTTTTAACTTGACTCTGCCTCGCCGGCCCTTCTCCCCGCCGAGGCTCTGGTGCCAGACTCAGGCACGTCGCGGCTCCCGCTCCACCGGGCAAAACCCACCCCCGCACCCCCACCCCGCCCGCGGACACCGCCTTCCCGGGGCGTCCGCCCGTCCCTCTGCCCCGGCCCCGCCGCTCCCGCACCCCGCCCGCGGCGGGACGGCACCGGACGGGACGGAACAGCGGCCCCGGACACGGGGGACCCCATCCCCGCTGCCCCGGGGCCACAGGCGACGCGCGGGGCCCGAGCCGGGCATTACCCCATCGCTCCCCGTGCCGAGGCCAGCTCACGGCTGGCTAAAGGCGGCTTCAGGTTTGCAAAGCGAGCGCAAGAGGGAGGGGAGAGGCCGGTGCCTCGAGGGGTCGGTTCCGCGGGGGTCCCGACGGCTCCCACCCGGGGACGATGCGGCCGGTCCTCGCCCTTCCCCGCCGGCCGTGGAGGGAGCTCCCCGCCGTCCCCTAAACCATCTCGCCGCAGCCTCCGGGCTCCCGCTCGCCGCGATCGCCGAGGCAACCCCGAGCTCCGCGCTGGCGCCGCGGTGACTGCCCCGACGGCAGCCCCGGGGCCCCGCCGGGGCAGGTACCGGCCCGGGGAGGTACCAGAAGCGACAAGGAGCGGCTCCGCGTCCCGACCCGGCCCCCGTAACAACCGGGCTGCCGTCTTGGAAGTCAAACGCTTCCCCCGACAGGTCCCGCGATCACCGTCTGGTCCTCACACGGGACTCTCTCACTCGCTACCCACAGCCATTCCCGGGGTTTATTTCCCCTCCCCTCGGAAGGAGGGGGGGGGGGGGGGGGAAGAAAAAAAAAAAAAAAGAAAAAAAAAAAAGGACATTTCGACACTTGGGGGCTCCCTATTCCCTATTCATTCTCCAAAGGCCCTTAACGCTGAATTGAAGGTGCTCTTAATTCTAATTTATTTCTGTTTGCGAAGGGCCGGGAGGAGCGGAGCGCTGGCGGCGGGGCCGGACACGGAACCTGCCCGAGCACACGCGGGGAAGCTGCCACAGCGTGGGGACCCACATGCGCCGGGGCTGCAGCCCGGGGGCGAAGCCTCCCCGCGCCGTGCGGGTTAAACGTCTTCTGCGCGGGGGAGTTGAGCCCCCCACCTCAACTTGGGGTGGGTAAATGGATGGGGGGGCGTAAATGGGGGCCGGTCTCCCGCAGCAGAAAGAGCCCGCCCGCCTCAGAGGGGCTCAGTCCCGGGAAAGGTGCGAAAGCCGAGGGAGTATTGAGCGAGGGACGAGGTCTGCGCGGGGCAAGCAGCGACATCCGACAGCCCACAACGTGTTGGGCTTTTTTACATCTTTTAGGTTCTTAGAATAATGACAGTAACAAAGAAACGCCATGGAACTGCCCGAGCCCCGAGGAGGTTGGAGACGCTGGTGCCCATGCGGGACCCCAAGAGCTGTGCAGCTGCCCGGCCCGGACGCGCCGAGCTGCCTCGGCGGGGTGGGCGGCCGCGGAAGGAGCTGGTGACCGGGACAGCACCGGGAGCTGCAGTACCCGGACAGCGGGGCCAAAGGGCACTGCCCTTTCAAAGGGCCCGGGTGCTCCCCTGGGCTTGGCCGTCGCGGCGCCGGAGCCCCCGAGCCCCGTCGCGGCGGCCCCCGGGGAGCTGTGGCGTCCCACTCCCAACAGGGGGCGGCCGCGCTCGCCGCAGCCCCGGGAGGCGACGGGGCCGGGCGACTTCTGCCCTTCCGACGGCACCTCCCGCGCCTCATCATCGCCGCAATCGCCCTCCTCGTCCTCTAGCCGCGGCGCTGAGTAGCGAAGCGGAGGAGGCACCTGCGCCCGGGGCCGCGGGCAGGGGCCCGGCCCCTCCAGCCCGGCCCTTCTGCACCGAGCGGCTGACAAGCTGCCACCAGAAACAACACACACAAAAAAGCCAAAAGTTAAAAAAAAAAAAAAAGGGCAGACTGCCCAGCAGCACGGAGCGCTGGAGATCGGGAGTGTGAGGCACCGTGTTCAACTTTGTAGGGCCGCGGAGATTGGGTTTTGGTATTTAACGCACCCCATGCGGAGCCCGCGCTCCTTGCCGAGATGAAAAGACAGGCTTTTACAGATCCTGCACCGCGGGATCGCCTCTGATCCTGTTTTACACGGGGTGTCTGGAAAGCCTGCGAAGGCATCTGGTTTTCTAGGAGCACTACCAGCGGGCAGGCGGCATCCAGAGCCCGGCTCCGGGGGGCTGTAAACCGCGGGAGGCGCAGCGGCTCCGCGGGGACCCCCCCGGCCGCCCCCTGCTCCCCGCTGCGGCTTCACAGCCATTTGGAGGGGCGAGACCAGGTCTCACGTTTGCAGGGAAAAGCACTGGTCGGGTCCCGGCCCAGCTCTCCCCACCGGAGGCGCAGAGGGGGTGTTTTCCCGGGGGTGAAGGCACACAGTGTCCTTCCCTCGGCGCCCGGGGATAGCCTCGCTCCTCGGCTCCGCTGAACTCCCCGTGACCCTCCGAGCGCAGCCCATTTACCATACAATTGACAATTAAAAACAAACAAACAACAAAAAGCCAACAGCCTTTCCAACATGGAGTCCTCGGAGCGCCAAGGGGACCCTGAGGAGTCGCGCTCCTCCGCGCTGACCCAGGCGGGACCCGCTGCAGATGCAGAGTGATAATCTCCAGAAACTGAGAATAAAATTAAAGGGGGGGGGCCTGACTCCAGGTCCTCCGCTGGCCCCCCGCCAGCTCTCCTTAAAGGTACAGGCCACCATTAGCGCCGACGTTGGGTTCCTCCATAGCGATCCTCCTCGAAAAAGTTTGGGAAGTTTGGAAAGATGTCTTTAAACTCGCGTTAGGAGCCGCTGCCAGAAAGATGCGCCGGGACGCGGCGGGCAGAGCGAGCCTCGCAAGTGTCCCTGCGGCGGGCAGCCTCTCTTCGGGGGGAAATTTAAAAGGAGAAGGAAAAAGCAGAAAATACGGGAGCTTTTCCCAAGTGGGGAGCAGCGCTCTCCGCGGTGGGTGAGAGCGGAGAGGTGGGAGCGCCCGGCGGTAGCCGGGGAGGGGAGGAGAGGCCGTCCCGCGCCGGGGCCCCTCGCCCCGCCGAGGCGCAGCCCACCCTGCGCGCCCGCGGGCCCCGAGGCGCGGAGCCCCCGCGCCCCACGCGGACTCACCTCCATCGCGCGGGATCAGCGAGCGGGAGCAGCCAAGTAATCCAAGCGGAGCAGGAGAAACGGCGAGGCGAAAGTAAAATCCTGGCTCGCAGGAGCCGGGCGGTATCGTCCCGAGCCGCGGCCGGGGGAGCGCGGGGGCCCGCGGAGCTGGCGGGGGGCGGCGGGCGAGCGGCCGCCCTGTCCGGCGCAAGCTGAGCGTGTCCGACTGCGGAGCGGGGCACCAGTGCAGCCTTCTTTCCAAGGTCCATCAGCAATCGCAGTAATTAGGGCTTTCCACCAGCAGAAGAAGAAGGAGGTAAAAAAAAAAAAAATCCAAAAAAAAAAAGCCAAGAAAAAAAAAAAGCCAACCCAACACACACGCACACAGCGCCCGTGGGCGTGATTGTGCGGAAGCAAATAAAAATCTTCACAAGCGGCAGCGAAAGCGCCGCGGGCGACGATCCGTCCCACCAGCCCAGGTGGTGCCGCCGCGGGGCTCCCCGCGCTCCCACCCGGCTCCGCCGGCGCTCGGGCCGCCGACCGCCCCCTCCGCAGCTCGGACCGGCCCGGGCGAGGGGGACGAGTGGAGCCGAGCGGGTGCAGGGCTCCCCCTGCCCGCCCCCCTTCACTTGCTTAAAGGCTGAGCGGTGCGGAGCCGGGGGTCCGCGGCTGCAGAGCCATCCCGGGGCCGGCTCCCTCCATTTTACACTGAGAAGAAAAAGCCCAACAGAAAAAGAAGTTTCTGCACAAGCGGGAAGGGGGAGGGGGGCTGTGCACGCGTGTGTCTGTCTTACGGGGCGACTGATCCTGCAAGGCGAGCAGGGGCAGGGGGAGGGGAGCAGTCCGGGCTTCAGGAGCTGCGGCTCCCCCAATCCATCGGTGCCAGAGGCGCCCAGCGCCGGGGAGCGGGATACGCGGGAGAAGAGCTGGGAGAACAAGCCGGGAGAGCGAGCCGGGGCAGGCGGCGTCGCGGCAGCCGACCCTTCCTCCACGGGGCTCTGCCCCCGCCCGCTACAGCAGCCGGCCCCGCTCCCCCCCGCGTCTCTCCCCGCTCCTCTTCACCCCGCTGCTTAAAACTGCGAAAGAAAAAAAAAAAAAAAAAAAAAAGAGGAAAAGAAGAAAAAAAAGTTAGAGAGCCAACGGCAGCTGGAAAACTTTCTGGGCAGCGCATGCGCCCGAGCCCGGCCTATTGCAGTCGGGGCTGGATTTTAAAGCTGTACGGCAGCGAGCGGGACCCCGCGCAGCCCCGCGGCGAGCGCCCGTGGTGCGCGCCCCCGTCCCATCCCATCCCGTCGGCGGGGCTGAGCCCCCATCGCCGCGCCATTCTCGTTGGTCAAGCTCGGCGTGACACCCCGCGAACGCAGAGTTCGTGCAAAGCGGTGCCCCCTGTGCCCACCCCACCGGGGGGATGCGTGGGGGGGTGTACAGCCCCCACCAGCACCGCCGGCTGGTAATCCTGGGATTGGGGGGGGGGCGCATAGACACACGCGGGGATCTGCCGGGAGAGCCCCCCGGGGCTCCCCCCGCACACATGTGCGTGCAATGTGCGGCGCACATGGCCGCGCCGAGGGGCTGCCCCGGCATTCCTGCCGGGCGGCTCTTTGACAAGTCCTGTTTATCGCATGCTCCGAGCCGCGTGTGCCGCCTGCCATACGCGGGGGGACGGAGCGAGCTCGACGGCTCGCGTTCCTCTTTCTGCAGCGGCTTTTCTGCCGCTGTAAATTTAGCAAGTTGTTGACAAAACTGTTTGAGTTCAATCAAGTAAGGCCCAACGAGAGCTACAGGCGAGGGAGGCTTCGCGGACCCTTTGCACCTCCTCGCTCTTTTCTCGCTCTGCAGTCCTCAGCCAAAGGGTTTTTATTGCACCCCTCCCGTCTCGTGTGCACCCAAGCACAGGAAATGGGAGCCTTCCCCCAGCCGTGCCGTAACTCCGCAGTGTTTCCCCTGTATCCGCCTGCAACTGAGGGTCCACGGGGGGATTCGGGGGAGGGGGCACATTATCAAAGCAGCCCTGGGAAATCCAACCAAGCTGCGAGAGCAGCCCCGCTATCAATAAAAGCATTCACTCCTTCAAAACCATTCTAGTGCAAATAAAATCCCTTCAGGAGCCCGATGGGGCGAAAAGGCACATCCCGGCCGGCACGAGCCCCTGCCCACCTGCTCCCGGGCCAAGAGCTCGTCCGCCCCGACAGGGCGCTGCCCGCCAGGTAAGCGTAGCCTCCGCCGAACGGGACAGCTGCCCCACCAGGCCCCCACGCTCCCCCCTCTGCCCAGGGCCCCCCGGGCCGCCCCCTCCGTTGCTCTGCCCGGGGCGCCGCTCCCCGTCGAGCTCGGCGGCGCCCGTCGCCTCCCCGGGAGGGAGCAGCGCTGGAGGGGCCGCCGAGAGGGGCCCCGGCGCTGGGAGCCGAGCAGAGGCAGCTCGGGGCGCAGGCAGGGAGCGGGAGGAGGCGGCGGGGGCGTCAGGGCAGCGCGGAGCCCCCCTCGCCCCATAGTGGGCAGGAGATCAGCCCGGGACACTGCGGCTCCCGCCGGCACCTGACCGCCCCGACGGCCGCAGCATCGCTCCCGGCAGGTTTCTTTACTCCCTAATGTCCCAAAGAGCCCTT